CGCAACTTTTTTATTTTAAGCAATTAATTGAAAATGATGAAAATCAAAATTCAAGTAAAAAACGAAAAACAAACACAAAAAATAAGGAAGATATCATTAAATATGTTGAAAATCAAGAATTGCCTTTAAAAAGACAAGAACAACTAGAAGATGGCATGTGTCTTGCTTTTGTTTGTGCGGGTATCTCATTTAATGTTGCCGGAAATGAAATTTTTCGTGCATGGCTTCAAGAACTTCGACCAGGTTTTAATATACCTAGTCCTAAAACACTTGCGGGAAGGATTTTTAACAAACAACTTATTAAAGTAGAAGCGAAAATGGAAAATGAACTACAAGATAAAAAAAATATTACACTTGGTATGTAAATATTAGTAAAGTTTATTTTTTTATAATTAAATATAATAATATTTTTATATTTATATCTTATAGCACTTGATGGGTGGACAGATCCACGAGGCCGTTCAATTTGGAATTTTTTACTTCTAACACCAGACCGAAAAGAACATTTATATGCTTTGCATAACTATTCAGATGCATATCATACAGCAGAATTTCTTGCACAAGAAATTGAAACAATTATTACTCAAGTTGGAGCTGAAAAAATTTGTGCAGTAGTAAGCGATAGTGGTGCAAATGTTGTAGCAGCAAGACGGTTAATTACACAAAAATTTCCTTATATAATGAATGTATCGTGTATAGCTCATCGACTAAATCTTATTTGTAAAGATATTATGAAGGAATCTTTTTCAAAACGTATCTTGTCTCAAGCAACATTAGTTGCACAATTTTTTAAATCATCTCATATAGCTAATGCAACGCTTGAAAATGAAATTCAAATTAACAATATTACAGGTGGGGGTATTAAACGACATGTAGCAACTCGTTGGTCAAGTTATTATGACACAATTTACTCAATAACAATAAATTTTCAATATAGCAAACCTAATTTTTTTCTTAATCTAATAATTTTACTATAAGGTAAAACTAATTATATACGTATTTACAAAGATTTTAGAACATAACT